TCAACGTGTACACGGTGTGAAATATGTACACGGTTGCGGTGTACAGTACAATCTGAGCATGTTTCATTTTCTCCGCCCGACACGTGTATGACCTGGACACATGTCCTCATTACACTGTCGGACGCGTACAGTACGCCGGCAGTCTTAAAGACAAAGGGGGGGGGGGGGGTCGAGATATAGTGCTACCCTGTGATAGTGGGCCGAAAACGGCACTATATCGAGTCAGGCACGATAAGATAATGTGATTTAAGGCTTTTGCAGACACTTCCTTGCATCACTGCTCAGAAAGACCGCTCGCAGGACGTCATCATTCGGACTTTGCGTCTTCACCAAACACTCAGTTCTAATCAAGTATTTCTGTTATTAGTAGCTGCCGAGCCGTCGCATTGACTTTCTCCTCCCTTTTCCCAGCCATAAATGCCAGCCTACACTTTTGCAGATGTCCAATTGCATCATCGACCCTGCCTTTTTCCGCCATACTCTCTATTCGAGTTAGCAACTGCATGATATCTTTCCGCGGCGGCAGCGGCTCTCGGGCAGTACTTGTACGTCCATCCAACTGCCTCTCTGGAGACCCTTCGTTTTTGGCTCAAAATTCGTGCCACCCGCTGAAGGGTAGCACTATATCGTAGCTGGCACTAACAAAGATGGCACTATATCCCGACCCGCCCTGTACTGCTCGTACGGTATAGTACAGCTAATAAGTACGGAAGTCCTTTTCTGCTTTCTACCTTCCCGATGTTGTCTCGTTACTTGAAACGACGCCACCGTGAAGAAGCCATCGACGCCACACTTCGTCGCCTTTGTCGGCAATCTCCCCGCGGCCCCCACCCGTGTCGCGTGTAGAGAGAGGCGGCGGAGCGCCGTTTTGCTTATCAAAGGCGATGTTTTCGTGAATATGGCTCGGCCGCAAGAAGGACGGAGGCTGATCTCCTAGCCTTCGTACGCAACAACTGATCCGTCCCAGTTCCAGCGGTCAACGACACCCACGAAGACACCGGTGCCATTTCGTGTATCTCTTTGCGACAGATACCCAGCTGTATGGCCATAATTCCAGTCTACACGCTGCGGTAGGCGGCTAGATTGACGCGCTTGGTCGGGCACCGCCGTCCAATACTCCATGTTTGACGGCATGCAGGACTCGGCCACCTATGACAGCAAGAAGCGCTGAACGAGGCCTTGGTGCGCGTCCATCGAAGGAGGTGGAAGGGTGGTCCAGGTAGTCCGGGCCCTCCAGAGACCTTTGTTAAGGGTACATGCCGATATCTGCCATACGATCATGCCGGCGTCTTATGCCAAGGCCAGTTCAACATGGACCACATTATAGTAGACGCTCTTGCGGAAAATGTCGCCAGTATCGTTAACTGGTGCATGGCGTAGTGTTATCCGTGAGTTCTGGGATTCTATCAATGCCATTTACTGTGATGGCAGAATTAGCGGTTCGACTGGATCCGTTACTTGCCAAATCTGCTAAAGCTGTACTACGACGAGTCCGCATTGTGGTACCGGTTGCAACCAATGGTGTTCAATCTTTGATAATTGCCTGAGTAGGTCAGACATACCCAAAGTATGCGAACTGACCAAGCCATGTGACGATACGATATACCGACGACTTGCAACGTTTCACGAGTCTACACCGTCCGCAACTTCCATTGGTACCTCATTGCTCGGAATTTCCGCATCGGGCAGAAAGCTTACAAGTCTAGCTCGAGACAGTCGAAACAGAACGTTGTCTATCCAGTCGGCGCAATCGGGCCGTTCTGCCCTGTATGTTGATGGCATGTTTGGCGGCGTAACGCTTCTGCATACGGCCTCAAACTGTGGAATGTCTTGCTCTCTGATGTGTCCTAGCTTGTTCATGTGCATGAAAGAAGAGGAATTCTCTGGGGTTTTTGATCTTACCACGACATGTTTGTATGACATTCTTTGCCGGCCCTTCGGATCTGGTCCTTGCACGTCGAAAATGTTCCCTTTCAGGATGCGCCCGTTTCGCGCCAATGCAATAAATAGCGCTACATGAGCATCTACCTCTCGTCTAGGAGATCGGTAGTAGAGTTGATAAACTTCTAATGAGTCTGTGTTGATCTTCTCATCAACTTGCTGAGCCTTTGGAGTCGGAGAAGAAGTGGAATTCTTGCTCCTTTTTCCGGATTTACTCATGTCTTGTCTTTGTCAGACGAGTCTCGAAAGTACTCATGCTCTTTTCGTGACTGTAACGGTTCTGACCAAGCTGCTTCTAGCGATGCGTCGGTGCGCTTCCGATTAAGGCCTGAGACCCACCATGTGGACAGGGGGGGACATGACAATCCTCCTTCGCACATGTCTTTGCATCTGTAGAGCATGTCAGGTAACTAGCTGTTTGTATGACGTTTTCTGTTTGACGTTTTCAGGATAAGGCAGCCCCGACCACCCGATTTCGACTGCCGACAGCTCCGCTTTGGCGTCACTCTGTTTCCGACTCTTCAGCCGCACATACGTTCCGCTGATCTTCGCAGCACAGCGCGACAGCCCACAACGTCTGCCCTTCACGCATGAACTGCTTCCACTCAGATTTCTCACGTCAGAGCAAGAAGTCGTAGTCGTAACCAGTAGAATCTTGTCAATGCTACTTCCGCCGCGCCATAAAAAGTGCAAAATCAGCGATGTGATGCCAGGCGGCACTGGAGAGCTGGCGTTACAGCGATGCGCCCTTCCAGTGGCTCAGACATGATGCCTAATATATACAGCTACTGTCCAACCAATCTGCAATCGTGCTGTCTGCTTGAATACAGATACGGTGCTGTATGCCATGGCAGTGCGAAGCGTTAAATATGCGTTCCGTATCTATACGCTTCTATTCCGATCCCGAACTTCCGCAGTTGTTTACATTGAGGATGAAAATGAGCCATATCTCGTGATAGAAACCATTCGCGGGACGCCGCCGAAATGCGCCTGGCTGTCTTGTAAGTTGCATCCCCGATTCAGGCATCCGGCAATGTATTACACTCACGATTAGCGAACTGATCTCAGTGGTCCTTTCTCGGCTCAGCACAACGGCGCTTTGGAGTATGTCTTTTTCTGAGACCCCTGTCACAGGGCCATTTGTCAAGCATGGACACTTGGATCATGCACTTCCCAAACTCTCAATAAGTATCGAAATGATGTTTTGTACGGTTCTTTTTCCATATTAAACTTCTCTGCCAATGCTGCGCTCAGTGTCTAGACGACAAGTGACTTCATATGAGGTCACCTTCAACTTATTTTTTCTCGACTTGTGCTTGCTCAACGAAAAAGGAAAAAGATACTCTCGCCACCGCAGTCGACATCTGCGTTGCAGAAGGGCGGATTTTGGTGAGATCTACACGTCTTTTCCAGCCATTTTTAGAATGCCTAAAAAAGAAGCCTTTTTGACCAACCTCAAAATGTTAAGTGTTGATATCTTCGAAACCAAAGCGCCTGTTTAAAATGTCAACTGACTACTGAAACTTCATTAGATTCTTAGTCTTTCTGTGCATTCACAACCGCAATCCCAACATTTTGCAAGATGTTATTGCCGAGGGCATGTACGTTAAAGAAATGGCGTCCAAACTGACTTTGTAAGGTTTCGATTTAATGTATATATTTTTGCGAAAAAGCTGGGAGGCAAAATTGCCGGTCGTCAAGTGTCTATCCGACCAAGCGTTATCATAATATAAAATCTGCGAATTTTATTCTTTCAACTTTGATGGCGACTGTTTCAATTTTTCTTTGGTTGAATTTAAGGTTTACGCAGCAAGAATTTCACAAATGATTGTGACAAATAGAGGTATGATAAGTAACATTGGCATTTCTGAATTTCACAAATTGAAGATATACCGAGAAGTGTTTACGCCAAGCATCAAGCACCATCACATGAGTATCATCACGTAGCCCAATTTTGCAGCCCAACCCACAGCTCATCAAACCGCCATGCCCCTCGGACGACAAAAGGACCACAACCCCCAGGCCGTTTGCTCGCGCATTGCCGGGTGGATTTCCCTGCTACCCTCGATCTTCAAGAAAAAGAACTCAGACCCAAGCTCCGCCCTGTCATCAAACTTCATGTTGGCCGGTTTACTGCTCACACTACACAGCAGCTGCAATGATCGCGAGAATCAAGTTTGTTGTTCACGCGAGATCAGCTTGACCTCCTTTGTTGATCATCGATTTGACAAATTCTCTGACGATGTGTTGCTGGCCCTGTTCCGGTTAAGCGAACCAATATCATTCGAATTGTGCAATACGTTGCGTGGCCAGCAGAACAATTTCGGACACGCCGGAACCGCTACGGAACAAGCCCATTGTTAGTAACTTGCGTCATTCTGCGCCTTTATGCTTCGCTGAACAGATGGAGAGACCTGGAAAGACGTTTTGCTCTGCACACACCGCATCTGTCAGAAATATTTTGGGAGGGGCTTCCTAAATTCGTGTCCGTGCGTGTTGATCTAGTTATGGGCAATCTACACAAGCCCTTTTGGCAAACTCATTTCGAGGAGTATGCAGAAGCTGTGGGTATTAAAAGTCAGGCGCTTGAGAATGTTGTTGCATTCATCGATGGAACGAACTTGGCTGTAGCTCAAACAAGTGGCCTGGATATCGATTAGCGTGTTGCTTATAGCGGGCATAAACGGAAACACGCTATCAAATTTCAGGCCTCAACTACCCCGTGCGGTCTCGCTATGCATCTGTCTGGTCCTTTAGAGGGCCGGCGTCACGATTGGACTATGTATATGCAAAGCGGGCTAGACTCTACACTACAAGAAGCCTTTTTCCATCTTAACTGGCAGTTTGTGGCCTATAAGGACTCTGGTTACAGCTCAAGAGTATTTTTGTTCGTGCCCTTTTCGGGATCTAATCTCACACCAGGACAAAGAGCCTTTTACACGACCATGTCGAAGTCTCGCGTGACGGTTGAGTGATATTTTAGAGAAATTAAGAGGTACTGGACGTTTATGGACTTCAAGCGTATGATGAAATTGAAGGAAAGCGCGGTGGGGATGTTGTATATCGCAGCTGTTCTTCTCACCAACGCCCGTAACTGCCTTCACCCAAATGCTATTTCGTAATATTTTCATTGCGCGCCTCCTGCCCTTGAGGAGTACATGATCCACCAAGATGATGCCTGAGCCACAGAGTGCAGCGCCAGAGGCCTTCTCCCCCCTTTGGGGGACACCGCCCCCATGGAATGGGGGACCAATACGTGTCCGTGACGTCGGCGTTCTGGCGTTTGGGCATCGACCGCATGTAAGACAACCGGATCGACGTTGGCGTCGCCATGCCGTACGCTTTTCGCTTCGCCACGGCCGAAAAATGGTCATCGTGGAGCCTCGATTGATTTGGAAGATTTTCGCTCGCGGGAGAGAGGCTCGCTCACTGCCTCCATGGAGGCAGATGCGCGAAGGGGTGTGAGGGGCGTGCTGTATGACGTGGAGGGGAGGCGGCTGTCGTTCCTGAACAATGGGGTGTGTAGGGGCGATGTGGACGTGCACGGCTGGGGTGAAGGCAGGGTGTTCTTGGGGCCGTTCGTGTACTGGCCGTACCACGAGGGTGAGTCCGTGACACTGGTAAAGGTTGGGGCTGCGGTGAGCGTGGCGGCTGTGCTCGTGGAGGCAACGGCGTGAGGAGGGCTATGAGGTTGGCATGCGATGGGCTCGTGATCAACCAGACGTGGGAGCAGCGGTTGTGGTACGTAATGCGGGTCGACGAGGTCAAGCGCGGGAGTAGGTGGTATGTAGGACGTTTTGATACTGGAGAAACGTTTACTCGCTGAATACTCTGGTTACTCGTTCGTTTTCTTTGTTTGCTGCTGCGAGAGAAGCGTCGTTACCAAAGAAAGTACGGATTGCATTTGCTTCCCTGTTTGCTCCATCATGCCGCTCATGGAGTCGCGATAAGCTGCGAGCTCGGTTGCGCGCTGCGCGCGCTCTTCAGCCCTTTCCTTGCAGCCCTTCTCGCGCTGGTCCAATTCATGTCTAGCTTTCTCGCGCGCGAAGTCAAACTTCTTTTGCTCCATGTTGAACCTGGCCGCTTCTGATTCGCGAAGTGCAAGCCCTATGGATTGCATGCCATCACCCACAGCCAAGCGTCGTTTTTTCGAAGGGCTCTCCTCGTCCGAACTCATCTTCTGTTCACGTCTTTTTTACAACGCAGTGCATTGAGCACTAAATCTTGTCCTGCAGCGATCTTCTGGCGCTCCTGATCTGCACGTTCCTTCATATCTCCATCCTTTCGGGCCCCAAGGTCCCTCTTTGCTTCTGTAATGTGCCCCAATAGCTCATCGACCTCCCCTATCTCACCTCCAACACCAGAACGAACACTGTCTTGCCCATCGCGCTTGGCGTACTGGTCGAGCAGCTTCTTGAATCTGTCTTGAATGTATTTTCCCGTGACTTTGTGCGCGAAAATTGAGTTTGCGTTGGCTTTCAGAGCCGCGGTCTCGAAGCGGGAGAGCGTCTCTCCATGCGGGGCTACATGTGCCTTGGAGGCGAAGACTTCTTGCGCGATAATTAGATCTTCTGTGCCCGTAAATTTGGACTTGCGACCCGGCTTGGACTCTCGACGACGAATGTCTGTAGGGGTGGAAACAGGCGTCCCTTATGGTGACTTCTCGGGGGTGCCTGGAACGTCTTCAGGGGAAACAACGGTAACCATGGCGCGAGGGGAGCAGAGCCTGATGTGTTTTTGGCGTGTGCTGGTTTTGATGTGCTTGCAATTGGTTTCCCGCCAGCTGTGTTTGTGAAACGACTTCACAAACGCACTATATTTCACGATTGTTCGCCAGGCTTCATTTGTGAATTTCACAATTGGCTTTCACACGTGGACAGGTATTGAGAGAGAAACGAAATTCATTCACCAAATTTTGATTGCGTAAATACTCTATTAGAGTATTTACGCAATCAAAATAAATAACTGATTTAAATTTTTTCTAAAGTTAGGACCGAATAGACAGCCCTCAGGGCGATGTTTCTATGCTGCCGGTATAAATTAAGCTTTAAATGCCTACAGTAAGCCGACATGTTCCTTTGAACACCTTTATATGCATCAACGAGTTAGTTTTCGAGAGAATCAACAACCAGATGCTTTACCTGTAGTGATGGCCTTCTGGTTTAAAAAAGCAAAAGTGGAATCATGGGTTATTTGTCTAGAAAAAATAAAATACCTTT